ATGTTTAGCATCAAATACAGTTTGCTGTCTGTAAATCACAGCAACAATTGTTCCATTATTTTATAGTTGCATTGATTATAATTTAACAATAAACTTTTTAGTTGACCATTTCCAAGCTAGATATTGTGTTATATCTGTAGGGCACTCTTCCTAGCCAGCCCTACGCTGTACTTTGTTTTTGCTTTTGCTTTTGTTTTGGGTACTGGTACTTGATTAAAACTCAAACCCTCCACAATCACACTTCACACTGCAATGCCTATGCAATGAACTTGTTGTTTTCCAACTTTTGAAAAAAATATATAGTATTATCAGTGAGCTGAGACTGAGTCTTGTTTTCCTTTGATTCCATAAAGGAGTCACAGAGGAATCAAAGGATTGAACCCAGGACCTTACACTTGCCAGGCAGGCACTTGTGTAGCTGAGCTATATCCCCATCTTTGGACTTTGTAAAGTTTCTATAATATTCAAAAAAATAAGCCTGTTCTTGTTTAAAACTCAAACCCTCCATAATCACACTTCACTCTGCAACGCCTATGAAATGAACTTGTTGTTGTTCAATTTTCGAAAAAAAAAAATGGTATTTTTTTTTTTTCCCAGTACTGGGAATCGAACTCACGACCTTGCGCTTGCCAGGCAGGCGCTGTGCCGCTGAGCTAAATCTCCAGCCCCCAAAATATATAGTATTATCACTGAGCTGAGACTGAGTCTTGTTTTCCTTGGATTCCACAAACTGTGATTTAAATTTTGAAATGGCCCACCCAACTTATAAATATTTTCTTCACTTCTTTTTAAGAGGGAAACATAGCATGCAAATTTCTGGCATGCTGAGAAGAGACTTTCGGCCGCTTTTTACCTGACATGAACTATTTTACTGGAAAGGCCTGTTTCCTCTCCTTAGAAAGATTCCTAGATTAGACTATAATAAAAGCAAAGTCTGGACTGTGTGTACCCATGTTCTCACAATTACAAACCCTAGTGGTGCCTGGGAGGAAGCAAGAACAGATACTTATTTGTCCCAGAAATAGACGGCCCTACACTTTGAAATATTTCAATAGAAAAAGAAAATGGGGATTACTGGATCGAAACCATAGTACATTCTACTTGATCACCCGTACAAACTCAGTCCTATAACCTATATAATTTATAGTAACCCACTTGGTAGAAGTATCTCAGGTTAATAATTTGAACAATTGGGGTTTCTTCTATATAGCTGAAAATTATAGATAAATTATCAAAGAAGACTATTTGCTCACTGGTTCCGGTCACTTTTTTCTTTAATAATTAAACTTTTGTTTTGTTTTGTTTTGTTTTGTTTTTGGCACCGGGAATCGAACTCAGGACCTTGTGCTTGCCAGAGGTGCTTCTACTGCTGAACTGTATCCATGGCCCCTTTAACAATTAAACTGAAAGTAACTCAGCAACTGCCCTTTTTAAAAAAAAAAAAATTACTCTCTCAGTGGTTGTATGCGTTATTCTGAATGTTTAATTCTTCACTTCCATTTGCAATGATATGCTGTAATTTTGGAAAGAGAATTATTCTTGTGTGACATATTCTTCTAACTTTTTGTTGAATCTCTTCACTCTTCTTGTCAGTGTAGAATTATGAGGAAAGGATTCTAGATGTATTTGTTTTCAGGAAGGAAAGAGGATAGGAAGCAAAATTAAAATCGAAGTCACTCTCCTAGGTGTAATTCTTTAAAAATTATTTTAAGGGTTGTAGCCACCAGGCATCTGGGCCTGGAAAACCACTTGGGCCTAATTCGCGTTCTCCCTACTAAAGCAGGCCCTTGAAAGTCTGCCCCTAGCAGCAAGGTTGGGAAAATTTCTGTTGCTGTTCTTGTCTGTGATATACGGTAGAAGGGTTGGCCCCGGTTGGGTCCACCTGCCAGCGGAGTTTAAAGTTTCTGCGGCTCCGAGGAACACAATGATTTGGATCAAACTGGCTAAAGGGAAGAGGAGCATTTCTGCCGCATCGGAGAACCCGTCCGTGGAAATCCTGCTAAGCCAGCTGTCCTTTCCACGCGTCCGTGCCGTGCCGCAGAGAAACGCGCCACGCCGGCCTCCTCTTGCCCTGCCCAGAGGTTCTGCCGATCAAGGATATGCTGAAAGCTCGGAGACGTGCGGCTGGAAGATGAAGCGAGGCGGAGTGCGGCCACGGCAGTGTTTTCTGTTGGGTAGGGCCCGATGGGCTCCCGGTCAGCGGCTCAGGGATGTGAACGCATAGTTTTATAACGTGAATTTCCCCCCCGTAAAACTAAAACCGATTTCACTTCCCTCTCTTTTCTTTGGCCGATAGCACCCGCTCCAGCACCCCTCTGCGGGGCCAGCTCGCCGTGCAGTGGGGCGGCCGGCGAGGACGCGCACCGGGCGATCGGCACCGGGTGGCCCGAGCAGAGCGCGGGGAGGCGCGCATGGG